ACACTATTTTTAATATAGCTTTTATTTAATTATAGTAACGTTATTAGGAACTTATAATAAATACTTAGGTTATTATTATGGGTTATATAAGTATTGTTTAATGCTTATATAATTGTAATAATATCTAGACTATTAATTAGTCTCAGTGAATATTAAACTAAACCCTAGTGGTAATGATACTAGGTTTTGTCGAGGGAAATTGTTTTAAGAGTAACGAAGCGCTGTCTGAATTGAGAGTCACCACCTTATTAGGTGAGTGCATGGTCCCTTTCATCTTACAATTAGATATGAATTATTTAATATAAATTACGTGTTATGTGTGCATATTGTCTGAATACTTGCTGTCTATGCTGGGTGAAATATTTTTATACACGTTTTAAATGATTTAAACTGTATATGTATTTTATATCTATAAAATGTGTTGGGTAAAATATGGGTAGATGTAATAGTTGTTGTATGATCAAATAAAATAATGAGAGGCCTCGTTATTGATGTTATTGATGATCCAGTCATCTAGCGGAGTATAGATGACGACCACAGACTATTTTAGACAGTCCAGTGGAACGCTAGCAGGCTCGCAACCTGTAGGTGTTTATTTGAACTGTGTGTTTACCAGCAGTACTCCATTCCCCACATGGTTGCCTTATTTAACATGAATTGCTAAGGAATCCCCTAAGCATGGGTTTTCACCCCGATGAAAGTCCTTAGACTAGGTCCCTTGTGTTAGATGTTTTAGGGACGTAAAGAGAGGATAACGGGAACATGTAATCGGGTTTGTTTAATTTTAATAAAGTTAATAAACTTATTTATTGTGGGTTGAAAACCCTATGTACTTACCAGGTTTCCCAACCTGACCCACTCAGTTTATTTATATCACATGTGTTGATATGAAGTCGCATTACACTGAGAGATTAAGGAGATATAAATCACTAGTGATAATGAATGTAAGTTCTGTTTATGCTTATGTTTCTGTATTGACGATGACATCCCAAATGTTTTAAAAATACTTTTCTTTGGAAATGCTTTGATAACGTATTTATCATGTTTTACTGGGAACAAATTCCTCAACATTTTTATTAAAAGAGGTACTCTGACTTTTATAAAGCATAAACACAATCGGTCTTTTCTAGCCTTGAAAATGGGGATGTCACACATAGCAACGCCCTCACTTCCTGAACCGATCACCCCCACAAACCGACTAACACCAAACAAAGATAAATCCTTAATCAATAACTCAATTCCTTCAAGTTTGACCCAAATTAAAACTGGTTAAAGTTCAACGGTCAACGGTTAACCAGGTTAACGCTCACCATGACATGGAGACCTCTTGGCCACGTCGTGGGCATGTTAGGAACAGTCGACATACGGAACCTCACAACGTTGTGGCAATCCCTTTGTCATGTCGTGGATCCTAAAAAAAATGTCATACTCTTCACTAAGTGCTTAATCCTTAAAGGTCTAAACCCATCACTTTATAAATAATTGCCTTAATGGATAACATTTCCAACTTTATCCATTAAAACTCCACCACAAGGCAATATCTACAATTCTAGGTCCACTAAGTCCTTAATGAGGCCAAATATTGGACATGGGCACAAAGTAACTCCAACCATAACTCTTTTCTTAATTACCAGAAGCTTATAGACTAAAAAGGACCATAACTGTAACACTCTAAAATTTCAACCAAAATTTTCATTTTTAAATCACATAAAAATCAATATCATATTTTCTCAAAAACCACAATGTATCAAATATCAAAACACAATTCAACAAAACAATTGATAAAATCTCAGAATCCTCGACATAGTCTCAAACATGTGTGTACAATCAAGCCGGCACCTTCCTGTGATCCTAAGAAGTACCTGAAACACATAACACACAACACGGTAAGCACGAAGCTTAGTGAGCTCCCCAAAATACCACATACACAAATAACAAGCCTCTCATGGCTATAACTCGGCATGGACCCTCTGGTCTCATGCGTCTCGGTGAAGACCCTCTAGTCTCACGGCTCAGTGTAGACCATCCGGTCATGTGTCTCAGTGAGGACCCTCCGGTCTCACAGCTTGGGTTGGACCCTCTAGTCCTATATCTCAGTGAAGAACCTCCGTTCTCACAACTCGATTTGGACCCTCCGGTCCTGACTCAGTAAGGCACAAAATAATATAACATATATCACAAAGACAAAATGCATAATATCACATAAATCAGTATAAACACATAAGAACCTTCGGTCGATAACTCAGTAAGACCCTCCGGTAACACAATACTACCGCTCAGGTAAGTATAGTGAGAAGACTCACCTCAGAAGTAAGCAAGTAGATCTAGCACCCCACGAATAGTCTAGACTCCGCCTACATAATATAATTATCTCTAATAAGAAATTTGTAATAACCACTTGATATGTTAAGCTAACTCCCCCACTAAATCTCAAAAGGGTGAAAAGACCATTTTACCCCTCCATGGTCTCTAAAGTCCACAATTGACCAAACCCTAAAAGTCAACGAAAGTCAACGCCCAGTCAATAGTCTATGTTGACTAAACTCGTTGAGTGCACCCATACAACTTGTCGAGTTCCTTTGTTTTCTCTAGAATATCGGGAAAATCCAACTCAACTCGTCGAGTTGTCTCATCAACTCGCCGAGTTGTAGTGTGTACAGTCCATCAGGGAAAACCCTAGCTGACTCATCGAGTTGGCTCATGCACTCGTCGAGTCCCCCTAGACAACTTCTCATTCAGACGATTCTAAGCAGAAATAAGGTCTCAAACTCTAGATTTAGCCTCCCAAGACTGTAATACCATGTAAAGTTGCAAGCTTTACGTCCATGCATGACATCTAGGGCTCGAAATGCAAACATAAGCTCTATATAGGGTTAAATGCATAAAAACTTTCCTCTAGCTTAATAAAGCTTGGATCTTTGGGCTCAAAGGACCTCTTACAGTCCATATCTGATGTTTCAATCTCATGTCATGGTCAAGTGACTAAATAACCAAAAGATGGATGAGAGAAAGCCCTAAAACTCCCTATAAAGAGATCTAACAAAAGAAATGGTCAAGATGGTAGCTTTTTACCTCCAAACAGAAGCTAACACTTGAAGAATATTGGGTCCAAAAGTCCCTCCTCATTCCAAATCATGTTGCTCTCCAGTCTCCTTCCAAAAGTGCACAAAAATAACCAAATTTAACCTCTCTCTCTCTCTCTCTCAACAAATAAAGCTTGATTAGGATTTCTCATAGAGCTCTAAGGTGATAAGGGAGGCAGATATGAAGGCTTAAGGTCATTTAAATAGGAAACAAACCCTGAAAATTAGGGTTTTCTCACTCAGCACCTACTCGTCGAGTTGGGGTCCTCCAACTCATCGAGTAGAATCTAAAATCACGTGGCCAAATAACTCATCTACTCGGCGAGTTGGGGCATCCAACTTGTCGAGTTGCTTTGAAATTATGAAAGTCAATTAATTAAACATTATACCTGGGAGTCGGGATGTTACAATAACAAGCTCTAGAGTTCCTCAAACTCCAAGAGCATCCATGAAAGGGACCAAAACCACCCAAAATGACCCTAAACTTGAATCTAGAAGAAGAAATCCCAAGGTATGAACTTTATACCTCAAATAGCTTAGAAATCAGAAGATAATGACAGAATCAAACCAGCTCCTTGCTTCCTTGCACCAATGTGAACTTCATTCTTCCTCAAGTTTCACTACAATCCAAAGAATAAGCTCCAAATCAAGAAGATAGGCTCTCAAACATGCATGGAGGCCAATGGTTTCATTTTGAAGGGTTAGAGGCAGAAGAGGAAGCCCTAATCTTTGAGATTGGGTGGTTAAATATGGAAGAAACCCTAAAAGATAATGGGATTGGAATGCAGCAACTGCCACATCGTAACATTCCTCTTTCCACGTCGTGGCGGTCATCAGATGTGTGTTTCACACATTTAGCATGACACATCGTGATGCCTTATTCACTACGTCGTGGCACTAGATTTTTCCCAAAATCTAAGTCCTCAACTGATCCATTATAGAGAATGGGTGTTACATGTGTGTATGTGTGTATTCACAAGTGTGTATGTTTGAGCACATATTTATGTATGTGTGTTTATCTTAAATGGAATATTCATAGTCTTTGTTGAAAAATTCATGTTTGACCAAAAAAATCATAGTTCGTCAAAAAATCTATATTGACAAACTAAACCTACAATAACCGACCACAATGATAATTTTTAAACAAGATAAACAAGTTCAAATTTAAGATGTGTACAAGAAAACTTAGTTGACTAAATGTGTACACAAAACAAAGTCTATTACCTTAATAAGTCATTATCTCTTTATCGTTTAATCAAACTAAACCAATTTAGATTGATATAAGTTTGTTGGTTTCGTCTATGGTTCCAAATATATTTAAAATAAGGTTGAAAGTTGAATATTTTGTTAATAAAATTATTTTAAAACATTGTCCTGTCTTTACTATATTATCATCTTGTCACTGTTACAACAATAGTCCAATAAGTAAACGATTTATTATATAACTTTTTCTTTAAATAAATGGAACTTCAGTGATTAAACATCTTGAGCAAAGGTTTAAGGTACCCATATGAAACAATCTGAAAAGTTGTTTGCTATTTAGTGATATTAGCTGTCTTTCAAACTTGAAAAATATGAAAGAATCTGAAAAGTTGTTTGCTATTTAGTGATATTAGTTGTCTTTCAAACTTGAAAAACGTTGTACTAAACATCAACATGTCTTTTTATTAATTTATTCCCATAACAATGTCTAAAAGATAGGGCTAGGCCTTCGGTGCCTATAGATAAAGGGGCACCGCCCTTCCATTCCATCCAAGCATCCACGTAATGTTATATCATATATGGATCCTATTGATTAAATCAGACCAAATTGTGTATTAACTATGTTGTCCGGTTTTGGACCAAAAAATTTTAGATTGGTTCAGTTTTTGTTTCGTTATTTTGGTTTTCTAGTTCGGTTCTAGATCCAATATCCAACATCCCTCCAATACATACACAATAAATAACCAAAAAGCAAGTATTTTTCTAAATAGAAGAAATATGCCTATTGAGACACAATTCAGGGGTATTTCTTGTAATTCGTTCGTAATCTTTGATGTGTGCATTCCCCCAATTGACTTTCCATAATGCTTCCAAATTCAAACTTTTTTTTATTAGATTTGATCTGAACAAAAAACAGAACAATTTACTAAGCTGAATTCCTGAAGCTTCTTCTAGATCTCTCACGGCTCTTTCTTCATATTCGCGTATTCAAATTCCTCAAATTTATCCCTAAAATTCATAGAAGTACATCAATATTGGGAATCCTCAGTTCATGATTGGGTTGCCGGCGGCAGGATTTTTCCGGTCAGAAATGACGATTGTTTGTGAGTTTTTTTTGTTGAATTTACGTGAATTTAGAAGTTGATCTGGTTTTTTGTTCGCAAAGAGTTAGGGTTTTACGAAAGAAAAACATACAGAAATGCCATTGGAATCGTCGATGTCAGACCATGAACCGGACGATTCCGATACTGAGTTCGTTGAGATCGATCCATCCGGTCGTTATGGTCGGGTTAGTACGCTTAATTTCTTAATTCCTTAATTTCATTTGACTAATATATGTTAAGATTTTTGATTTGTTTCTAATCTGATTGTGAAATTGGGATAACTGGCAGTATAAAGAAGTGCTGGGAAAGGGGGCTTTCAAAAGAGTGTATCCTCCTTTTGCATTGTTATTATATACTCATTTCTTTAAGAGTCATAACGATGAAAAAAATGCTGCTTTTGACATTTGATGTCACATTCCACCTTCATATATGACATGGATTTGCATCAAGATCGAACCTTTTGATATCAAATTTGCAATTACAAATTACTATGTCCGACACTGAAATTATTATGTAGAATAATCAATAACACAAACATGCTATTGTTTATCGGAGCTTTATTTGATTCCTTGATCACCACTGGAAATTTAGATACAAAGCATTTGACGAATTGGAAGGAATTGAAGTAGCCTGGAATCAAATTAGGGTTTCTGATTTCTTAAGAAACCCTGAAGAGCTAGAGCGGCTATACTCAGAAGTTCATTTGCTCAAGACACTGAAGCACAAGAACATCATCAAATTCTACAATTCTTGGGTTGATACAACACATGAGCACATCAACTTCATCACCGAGATTTTCACATCTGGAACATTAAGACAGTATGTTTTTTTTTTAATTTGTAGAATTTTAGATACAGATTCTAAATAATGATATCTACGTAATTGAAATTTGTATATAGGTATCGCAAGAAACATAAGCATGTAGATCTGAGAGCATTAAAGAAATGGTCTAAACAAATATTAGAAGGACTTTTGTATCTTCATAGTCATGATCCTCCTGTTATACATCGTGATCTTAAATGTGACAACATTTTTGTCAATGGGAATCAAGGAGAGGTCAAAATTGGAGACCTTGGACTTGCTGCCATTCTTCGCCAAGCTCGTTCTGCTCACAGTGTCATTGGTAAGTCCAAGTCCAAGTCAACACCTTTTTCCTTTTTCCTTTTTTTTTTTTTTTTTTTTGATTTTTTATTTTCTAAATTTGATGTGTTTAGGTACTCCTGAATTCATGGCACCAGAGCTCTATGAGGAGGAATACAATGAACTTGTAGATATTTATGCATTCGGAATGTGCTTACTTGAATTAGTGACATTTGAATATCCTTATTGTGAATGTGCCAATGCTGCTCAGATATATAAGAAAGTGACATCAGTAAGTAATTCATGAGTCATGATCCCCTGCTCTTTCGTTTCCATACTCTCTCCACAATTTACATCTATACCCTTTACTTTATTTTTTAATGAATCTTGTTAGGGTATAAAACCGGCTTCATTAGCAAAAGTCAAAGATCCTGAAGTCAAATCATTTATAGAGAAATGTATTGCTAAACAATCCGATAGGTTATCAGCCAAGGAATTGCTCATGGATCCGTTTCTACGCGATGAGCATGATGCCATGAATCGACCAGGTCAATCCAATTCCAATTCCGGTCCCGGTCCCGGTTCCGGTTCCAATCCGCCTGATATTGCTAGAGATTTCACAGTCAAAGGTCAAATGAAAGACCTGAATACCGTATTCCTAAAGCTACGAATAGAAGATACAACAGGTTGGTTTTTTGTCTTGAATTTTTTTTTTCTTGGATTAAATTTAAAATTTTGATTGTGGGGACAGGGAATGTTCGGAATATTCATTTCCCGTTTGATACGGATAACGATACATCGATTGCTGTTGCTAGTGAAATGGTGGAAGAATTGGATTTAACAGATCAAGATGTGTCCACGATTGCTGAAATGATCGATGCAGAAATTCGTTCTTGTATTCCCGATTGGGCTCCAAGAGATTACGATGATGATCAAGATGATGCCGATTCCGATTCCAATTCCGAAGTTCAAAACCAATCCCAATCCCAATCCCCTATAACAATCAAATCTTCTACTTCACCTGGGACTTTAGCTCTTGAAAGATTGCCTTCAGGTAGAAGATATTGGAGTGATTCACCAAAAGGCTGTTTCTCTCCACTCAGACCAAGAGATTCAAACGCTTCTGAACCAGTAAGTAATGATGGCAAAACAGAAGAAGAAGAAGATAAAGATGATGATGATGATGATTATGATGATGATGATGATGATAATGTTGATACAATTGTTGAGAAACTTGAACATTTGTTGGATGAGCAACAAAAGGAAGTGGATGAACTTAGAAAGAAACATGAGTTAGTGGTGTCGGATATTTTGAAGAAACTTAGGCCCGAAACCCGTCAAGAAGTTGCGAATATTTGTAAATTTGAAATCTGCGAGGAGACTGGGCCCAAGCCCGATCATGAGCCCGAGGCTGAGCCCGAGATGTAGGAGTTGCCATTTGTCAAAAGGTGAAGGATTGTACCAGTGGCATAGCTGTAGTTTTGGGAAATGATAAGGTCAGTTTATAACCAGTTTTATAGGATTATATATGGTATACGTGTGTGTGTGTAGTTGTTTTGAATTTCATAAAGGTTTTTTAAATATGTTTTTGGAAGTATATACATTTTTTGTACATAAGTTAATTAGTTGTATACCCTTTTATGTATTGGCACAAACGGGTGGTATATCATTTTAATCATTTTATTTGTGTTGGAACGTTTAGGAAGGAAGAATTCGATTTACACATTTTTGTATCTCGTTTTTTTTTTTTTATTTGCAAATTGCATAAACGACACTAAATTTTACATAAATTTCTATTTTGGCGGTGTGTTTTCATTTTTCTTAATTAAGTTATTAAGTTTATAATTTTGTTGCGAATTCAACCAATCAAATGGTTCGCTTTAGGCGTTTTATGTTTCTGACTAGGCAAAAAGCTGATATAGCTTTCACATCTGATCATAGTTGGTAAGGATGAACAAAACTGAAACTGAAACCAAACTGTCGATTTTTTTTGTTTCGATTTTTTAAAACTGAAAATTCAGTTTTCAAGTTAAAACCGAACCAACCAAATGGGTTTAAAACCGAATAGAAACCAACAAAAACCCATGGATTTAAACCTAAAACCTATCAACTAGTTTTAACTTTTATTTTTTCTTAGTTTAATTAAACTAGTTGGCTTTTAATATTTCTTAGTTTCTCTTTAAACTAGTTGGTTGATTTTAGTGTTTTTGTTTGGTATTTAAATGCTGTTGGATTTGTACCATTTTATTTAGAATTCCTGGAAATGGGTTAAAATCCAAAATCCATCAACCTAGGTTGAACCTGAAAAACCGACCCACGAAACCGAAAACCGAATGCGATGGGTTTCAAAACCCAAAACTGAACTTATCAGTTTGGGTTCAGTTTTACCCTAAAACATATCCAAAATGATCCATGCTAACCTCTAACAGTAGCAAACATTTTGGTTAAACTAAACACTAAGGTAGATTTGTACTCATTTTCTCTTATTTTTTTATTCTTTTGTTTTCTCAGAAGATCACAATTTTGTACATAAGTTTTCCATGGTTAGAGTGGCGTAAGCAAAACAAGGAAAGTTTCATTTTGGAGATGTAATTGTTGATAGTTATTGTCTTGTTTACACCACCACTCTGTAATGAAAAACCAAAAAACCATTTGAGCCATCATGAGAAGCCATTAAACAAAATCCTAATTTTCTAAGAGAAAAAGAAAAAAATAGGGAAAATGAATATAGATCTATGTAAAGGTTCAATTTAACATAAATGTTTGTTAACTGTGTTCATATGTGGAAACAATATCGGTTTGTTGTCCACTCAACTTGTGAGAAACATAAAACACCTGAAACCAGTTGGTTAAATTTAGAGGTTGTTTTTGTAAGCTTTTTTTTTTTTTTTTTTTTTTTTTTTTTTTTTTTGGGTTTAAGCTTATAAAACTTAATAGCTTAATAACTAATCAGCTTATTAGCTTATAAAGTAGAAAAGTGTTTGGATTAACTTATGACTTATAAGCTAATAATCACTTTTCAAAATGGTGTTTTGGTTAGTTTATTTTTATAAAGGAACTAAAATGGACATGTTTACATTACACAATTGGGGAAGAGAGTTATGGTGTTTTGGGAAAGAAAAATAAGGGTAAATACGTAAATATATATATATATATATATATATATATATATATATATATATATATATATATATATATATATATATAAGCTAATGCTTTAAAAAAAGATGAATTGAAATAGTTTATGAAAATTGGTTTATTTTTAGATAAAATAAACTCAATAGATTAAGCTAATAAGCTAACCAAAACACAAATTTTTTCACAAGCCCAAAATATAAGCTTATAAGCTAAAAAACCTGGAAAATAAGCTAAAAACACAATTGAGAAAAATAGAAACATACTATCTAAATCAAAATTTTATGTTTCAAATAATATATTAAAAAACTAAATGTTATATACAAGTGAAACATGATAAGATTAATTTTGTCAAACCAAAACCATAGCCATCGTAGTGCAAAACACAGCACAAGCAATAGCCACAACGCTTCTCTCTTTAATCACAACCTTAAACAAATGCATTACCACTTCACTACAAATCTTCTTCCCTTCCAACACAAGCACACGACGCCGTTTCCCTACACAACTCAACATCACAAACACTGTTATCAACGTCACCATGGTGGCTCTCGCCATAACCACCAAGAATCCGCCCACCACCAGAACACCCACAACCGGAATGTAAAAAAACGGCCACCTTGAACCACTGTGGTCGGTGTGAGAGAACAAGATGTACAATAAAGAAAGCATAAAGAACAAGCATGATGCGGCGGCTCCGGTGATAGCTGGTCTAGTGATCATTGTACTCGTCGACGGTGGTTTCGGGCGGAGACGGTGGTGTGGATTAGGAATCAAATGGATTGGTTGTTGTTGACTTGTTGATGTATTGGAATCAAATTGGACCTCTGGGGTGAGACTATAAGAACACCAATTTTATTAATATAATAATATGAGGATTATAATATAATTACATGTAGATATTGTTTTTTTAAAGTTTCTTAATATAAAGTTTGCCATCTTTGACCACTGTCAAATTATTTAACTTTGGTTTTATAAAATAATATTATTAAATTAAAAAAAAAATGGAAAAACGACAAGCATATATACACAATAAGTACAATTTAAGGGTAAGGGGATAATACTTTCACGTGCGTTGACGGAGATACATGACGTCATCGACCGGCGACGTCCTTTTGTTTTTAACGTTGCGAACGACGTCGTTACGCTTTGCATCCCGTGATTTTCCTCTTTGGTTTGTTCGAAAAAATCCGGAAATTTTCTTTACCGCGATTATTTGGTTTTATAATCAAATTGGACATTTATAAAATAAAAAAAATTGATATATACGTATATAGTTATATAATAGAAAGAAATAAATGATGTATCAACAATAGTTCTCACAATCGAGAATCAAGCTAAAATTATGTATGATTTGTTTGGATACAATTATTAACCATAAATAAGGTACTTGAATATTAATTAATAAACGCATAGAATCAAGCTGAATCTTTCAAATGATTGTAGGATAATTATTCCAAGATCATATCTTTAGAATACGTTTTCTTAAATTTTGTTTATCTATAATTTCTTTTTTAAGAACATGTCACAGATTTTAATCAAATTAATGATAACAATTGTAAGCAAGACTTTATAAGTTATTCAGTAGTCGAAAAATGAAATTTTAAACATCAAATAATTATAGCTATTGTTAATTTGGTCTTGTTTATAGATGCATCTTTTTTTTCATGAACTTAATTCATGGAGATCTTGGGTTCTCAATTCATGTGTTAGATAATTTTTTTTTTTTTTTTTTGAAGCAGCAAGTATATTAAAAACTCAAACTCATATCTAGACGATGCGAGGAAATAGTACAAAACAGGAAAAGGAAAACACAAAGAAAAATTACAAATAAAGAAAATGACCTAGATTCCATACTTTCTGGTCCATGTTCTTGAGCAATCCTCTATGTTTGCACCAAATGAAAGTTATCGATTTATCATTTCCACTGTATTCGCCAGTACAAAGGGAATGCTTTTGAAAACCCTTTTATTTCTATCATTCCATATACACCACAATACTCCGCATAAGATCACATATAACAGTTTTCTTTTCTTTTTTGCATTTTGACCATCGCGATATGAAAAGTAACATATCCTTCACTAAATCAAAGCCATCATAGGAGATTTCACACCAAAAAAGTATCGAGTCCATAACAGCTTTCGCCAATGGGCATATGAGTAAAATGTGATCACTCGACTCCTCCTCAAGATTACATGAGCCACACATAATCGATGGACCTGTAACACCCCTCAGTTTTAGTGCTACTGCTGATGGGATTCTACCCAGCTTTGCTCTCCATATAAAGCATAAAACCTTAAACGGGATCACCTTACACCACTCAAATGGTCCATCACAAACAACGTGATCTGCCAATTCAATCCGTTCTCGTAACAATCTCACAGAGAAACGAAGGTCAATCACAAAATTAGAGGCCCAACAACATTCAGTTGGGTTCCAGTACACAATCTCATTAGGGTCGATATTGAAATTTTTTAAAATCGTGTGAAAACAAATTGAGCAAAAAATCATCCATATGCGACGTAAGGACATTATTTTCAACAATGCATTGTTGTGACACTAAGTTTGTAAATTTCTTGTAGAATCAATATGATTTTTTTTCTGCAAAGGTTAGGGGTGAGCACGGTGTAATTTGGTGTAGTTTCTAACCGAAACCAAACCGAAAACTGCAATAATCGGTTTTTTGATTTTCAAAACCAAAATAATCGGTTGCAGTTTTCTGGTTTTCGGTTTTAAACAATGCGGTTTGGCTTGTCTACCCCAAACCGCAATATATACGGTAAAATTCAATCCAACTTAGACCAAATGAAACAAACTTAGAGGAGTTAGAGAAAACCAAACTGATTAGACATTAAACTTGTCAAAAAATTTTTTTAACTTTTAAGCTGTAGAGGTTATTTCAAACCCAAGCTTTTCATACAACATAAACATATATATAAAACACATGTCCTTTTCAAAGCTATTTCACCCTTGCTTTTTATAATGCTCTGCTGTCTTTTTTTGTTCCATGATTGTAGCGATGTGGGACTAAGGAAACAAAGGAAATTTCTTATACGTATTGTTTTCAACTTTAAATCTCTAATATATTTTTAACTTTTACAAATTGAAAATATACTTATAAAAATGTGCTATCTTTTAGTTTACACCGATATCATATCGTTAATAAAGTTTGCACCTTTATCAACTTTTATTAAACTAAAAAAATATTTTTGTGTTGGGTTCCCTTCATTTATCACCATTTTTGTGTTCAGGTTCCGGTTCTGACGGTTCTAATACTCAACCTTATCTGGAACACATTGTTCTGGAAAGATCTGCGGAATTATGGAGTATGATTCCTGATCATGGTTCCGGAATACATTTGACTTCTTTTTTTGCGTGTAACATGTATTTTTTCGTTTAGTATAAGTTTTGGTTTTATATTATGTATATGTTTTATAAAATATAAATGCAATTAAAATCAACAAACAACTAAAATGCAATTAAAATTAACAGACAACTAATAAATAGGAGTGTTCAAGGGGCGGTTCGGTTCGGATAGTAATAAAATTGTGAATTGTGGCTGTGGGGCAGGTACCTCAGGCGCACTACCCGAAACCGAACCGGATTGGAAAAAAACGAACCAAACCGACCGTGTGAAGATGAGTAACCATGGTTCGGTTCACAAGTACCCGTTAAGTATAAACGTTAAATTTAATCAAAACTATAAACTCTATTTCAATCATTTCTTTGTAAAAATAAGCAAGCTAAAGACTTAAAAAAATATGAAAATAACTATAATAATGAAAATCTGGATATTGCCCATAACTATTGGGTCGTATGATCTTGACAAACAATGAGAATAATGTTTGAATAATACGACGGTTCGGTTCGGGTATCCGCAGATACCAAAATATCCAAACCGAAACTGACCCGTAGATAGTCGGTTTTTCCGGTTTCGGTTTTTTTCGATTTCGGTTATTGTTTCTTCGGTTTCGGATTGACCGGATCGACTCCGTTTTTCGGTTTTGCGGATTTTTTGCACACCCTTATAGATACATAAACTAAATAAAAGATGTGTCTATAGGTCATATTACAAATACGATGTTCAATTTGTCTTTGTCCTTGTATCTCAAAAAAATTCCGCTAGTCGTTTTCGATAACCCATAACCCATGGATCAGCGGTTTTACCCTCTATAGAAATCGATTTCCTGGTGATCAACGCCTCCAGGAACCAACACAGAACACCCAACAATCCCCTTTATAGTCGATCTGTTGTGGTACGTCTGTGGCCTTTTCGAGGGTCATCTTGAAGCTTTCAAGTGAGATTGAACCAGTTGGTTCGGTACCCAAGTAGTTGACTACCACTAGTAGTTTGTGGATGCAAACTCTCATAACTATAAGCCAATCCTTATTTTCCGAACAGTAGCCGTCCTTCCATTGACTATCGTATATAGTCATTTGGAATTTAACGTCCCGAAAATCATGACATAAAAATTTTGGTTTTTACATTAATAAATTATTAATGCATATCTTTCTCATAAAACCAAGGTAACTAAGATTTAGCAAAACATCATCAAATCAGAGAAATTCACAGAATGTGGAAACATGTGGTGTGTACTCTGCAATCACCCCGAGCTCTTCATTTGAAAATCGGAGTACCTGAAACACAAACTAAAAATCGTAAGCACAAGTTTAGTGAGTTCCCCAAAATACCACATAACGTACAACCACAGAATATCATGCAACATACATATAGTTTCCATGGGCTCCCCCCATGGTCTTTACCTAGAATGTCATGGGCTCCCCCATGGTCTAATATCCAAGTGTCATGGGCTCCCCTCATGGTCTTTACCTGGAATGCCATGGGCTCCCCTCATGGTCTGATATCCAAGTGCAATGGTGCGACACTCAGAAACCAGAAGGCCATTTAAGGAAAGAAAACCTCCAATCAAGAAGGAAACTCGTCGAGTTCAAGGGTGAGAACTCGACGAGTAGGAATGTTGTCATGCGTTTTTTTGGAAGACCAACTCGAAGAGTTGGACTAGGTTTGGGAAAACCTAATTCTGGGATTTTACACCCTATTTATACATCCTAAACTCTAGGGTTTCCAGCCTCCATTATCCAAACCCTAAGTCTAGAAACCCTAATGCTAGTTTGAGTGTTGTGATCCATCCTTGAGAGAAACTTTGTGTGTTTTGAAGCTTGTTAGTGAAGGAGAAGCTTGGGGATTCAAGAAGAAGATAGTAGATCCATAGACTTCATTTCTTTCTCATCACTTTCTAGTAATCAAGTCTCAAACTTGCTTAGTAGCTTCTTAGATCTCTTGATTATCATTTGATTGGGTTTTTGGTCCAAGAAGTATGATCTTTAGGATATAGACGTCCCAAGTTAGTACACCATCAGATCTGGAAACATGGAGGGCTTTCATGGCATAAAGGTGCAAAGTTTATGGCCATTGAAGCCCCATGCAAACTATAGGGTGACATTTTGGCCTTTTAAGCTCCAAAAGGCCATGCATGGAGAAAAAGGTGGAAGCTTTACATGTTTATGTAGTGTCTAGGGTCCAGATCTTAGTTTGTATGCTTTAGCTTGGAGGTTTGATGCTTGTGGACCAAGATCTAGTTCCTAAAGAGATAGGGTTGAAGCTAAACCCACTAAGTAAGAGTATTAACAGGTAAAGTTGGAAACTTTACCCTCAAAAGGACATTTTCAGTGTATATGGGAAATATGAAGCTTAGATATGAAGAGTAAGGGCTTAATCCATTAAGATGGACCGAACAAACTAAGGAACTCGTCGAGTCCATAGAGGAACTCGACGAGTTGAGTCGATTTGTCCCGATTCTATACCAGGTAGAACTTGCAGAGCTTGCGGAGGGACTCGATGAGTTGACTCGCTTAATCAAGACTATGAATAACAAGGGAACTCAGTGAGTCAGGGGGATGACTCGATGAGTTGGATCGCGATTTCAAGGTTCTTGATTTATAGAACTCGAAGAGTTGATGGGTCAACTCGACGAGTTGAGTCAACCCAGAACATTGACTTTGACCAGGGTGTTGATTTGACTTTGACTTTGACCAAGGTTAACCTGTGAAGGTGTTTTGGGTATGGAATGAAATCTATGGGATTATTGGAATTTGACCAAGTATTATGTTGTTAATGATAGGTCGGGGAGTCATCGAAGCAGCCGTTAAAGATTCCTCATTGTGAGATTCCGCATTCAGCTTTGTGAGGTGAGTTTTCCTCCAGTAGGAACAGGTCGAAGGCATCAATGTCGACCCGTTTATGTATGCTAGTATGTTCCGGACTAACGTCTGAAGTTGGGCAATGCCCGATGTAGGCTATATGTTTTCGGATTTCGGTCTGATGACGGGCGGTGTAACGCCCGTAGATTCGGGCTAGTCAATTTAGAGACGATAGGCGTCAAAAATAAATTTTTGATGAAAGATTATTTAGAATGAATAATCTTAACTAGTTATAGTATATGTTACAAGGTTTCTGTACATATAAAGAACGCCGAAATCCGAGTTATAACAAAGAAGTTATGACATGTCGAAGTTTCGCGACAGAACCGGCACAACACAACGCAACGTAAAAAGTGAATTTATGTTAGAGCGATATTTAGCCTTAGCAATCTAAATGAAAGTCGTAGAATACATTAAACCATGAGCGTGCATAAAAAGAACGCCCAAATCTGACTTCGTATGAGGAAGTTATGATTTTTCGAAGTTTCGACTTAGCAGTATGCAGCCCGAATGCTCGATTTGAGACCGAGCGGTTTTTAGCCGAAACAATCTAAATGAGAATTGAAGATCTCATTAATTGTAGTAAAACGATAAAAAGATAGGCGAAAACGGACGTCGGATGAAGAAGTTATGATTTTATAACGGAGTTTTCCTGTCCCGGCCTACTAAAAATAAATAATAAAAATAAAGTCAAAATTAGCCGACGGAGTCTAAACGAAAGTTGTAGATCGTAGTCTCACCTACGCGTGGATATAAAGAACGTCGAAAACGGAGTTCGTATGAGGAAGATATGAATTTTTGAAGTTTATTTAATAATTTCGATATTTAATTTAAATAAAAATTGGCCGATATTATCCATGGGGGAGTCAGCGACCTTATCGTCGTTACGCCCTGCGTAATGAAATTTACGCCCCGCGTAAATCGGGCTTCAGCCCCCTATAAAAGGAAGTCGAGTGCAGCCGATTCAGTTGCTCATTTCTTCCCGTTTTCTCGCGTTTTTGCATCGTTTTTCGTGCAAGAAATATCCCGAAGCCCCGGTATCATTCCCGAGCCCCGAAGCAAGTCCCGAGGCCCCGAAGATCCCGAGAAGTGCAATTCCCGAGCCGAAGCTCTGCCCGCGAGGAGTCCGGTTTTTGTGAAGATCTTCCAGATCTACCGAAGAATACTACTTCTACAAGCCGTAGTGTGTCCGATCATCTTCTGATCAAGTGAGTGTGTAGTTACTTTCTTCTAACGCATAATTATGAAGTATTTTATACGAAATACGTGTTATGTGTATATATATTGTGGTTTATATGTGTGAGTGTGCG